ATATTTAAATCATAGAAAAGATAAAACATACAGAATTAAGTTGAAAATAGGATTGTTTTATTTAAAGATTTATGAAAATCAATTAGACCTACTTAATTGTAGTTTTGTAAAAGACCACAAATCCAAAATCAAAGAACACATAAACCAACGATGGCAAACAAGATGGGACACACAAGACACAAAATTACAAGAAATAAAACCAATATCGCATTAACTACTAGATATTAAACTTGGGAGAAGAGATCAAAGCGTTATCAGCAAATTTAGGATAGGGCACACAAAAATCACACACCAACACATGTTCAAGAAAGAAGAACCGCCGACATGTGATCATTGCCAAAAACTTGTGACAAAATATCAAGTAACAAGAATATTTTTTCAATTACCCCGAAACATGAATGATCTATTAACGAAAGACTTTTCAAAAATAATTGATTTTCTGAAAAAATGTTTTCTTTATAATCTTATATAATAAATACTATACTTTCCAAGCCGCCCATAATCCTAGAGGTTAATGTGGTTAATACTATATAAAAAAAGGTTTTCAAAGCCAATTAGAACTAGAAAAATGTTAATTTTTATAATAAATCCATCAAAATCATGAGAAAAAATGCGTTTGGCCAAACAAAATAAAAAATAAGGAAATTTATTTATAAATATATACATCATAGCAAATTGATGAAAATAGAAAACAATTTAGCAATTTAAAGTATATTAAAATTGTTTAACGATGTGAGAAAAACCAAATCTGTTGTCCAGATGGTTTGGTCTAAAAAAATATAAGTTAGATTCGCCCCTCATTTATGAACTACCCTACATATTTTAATATAATTGTAAAATATGGTCGTACAACTTTTGTATGAAAAGTGTCTTTTTATCCCCAATAACAAAACGACTATCGATCAACTAAACACTGATGGAAAACCGTATATATGTATAATATTCTTAAATGTTGATATCGTTGCATAAGTAAATTCATAACGAATTTAATGATAAAATAATATACAGGGTATCAGAGCTGGGCAGTAATTGCCTCGAAAGTGCTTAAAAAAAAGTGCTTCAAGCACAATAATGCTTCTAGCACAGTCTTACAAGCACTTTTAAAATACAGTGCACGGTAATTGGTAATTAAAGCCCTTTAAAAAATAATTGCTTAAAAATTGGTGATTGAATTTCGCATTTCAAGATATTTAAAGTGCTTGAAAACACTCAAAAGAGCTTGTAAGCCCTTAAAAAGCATGCCAACACTAAAGGAATTGCAAGGAAAATTATGCTTACTCATGAATTATTACTGTTTTTTGTATTTAGTTTGTTGTTTCTCATTTAAATTCAAAATTCTTGTAGTGCGAGATCCCACTGCAAAATTTTGTGAATAAAATGTCTTTTTAAACACTATACCTTTCTTTATTGGTCAGAGCTGTAAATGATTGCCATAGTCATTTTAGTTCCAAGTTCAAAAAACCATGCAAAAGTAACGAATATAGGAAATGTATTTTTTCTACACGCATATGGATATTAGCTTATCTACGCACAGATTATAAATCGAAAAAGTATGCTATTGCCTTCAACTGAACGAACATATTTCATATCCATTCTAGGTAGTTAGAACACTGCAAAAAAATGAAATCCACCAATCACCGTTCAAATTTTGATCAACCGACTGCTATTATTTTTAAAATTTTAAATAAGTGACAATTCTGTCAAACTAATTGTCAGTATATTTTTTAGTTATTGAGATTAAACATACATTAAAATGGGTTATTCTTGTGTAGAATCGATAAATAATAGCATTTCTGTTTTTATTTCGTCTATAATTATAAATAATTTTGTAATTTAAATAAAACTATATGAAGTCAATTTAATTACGAGTATTAAAGCATCAAAAATAAAAGAATTTATGATCCTGTGGTCAGTCTTCTAGCCTTCCACAGAGACGACTGGAGTTCGATTCTTGGATGGGGGAAAAAATGAACTTTTTTCCTTTTCTTTTTTTCGTTTATTTTATTTTAAAAGTTATCAAAAGTTATAAACTATTTTAATATTACTTATTTTGTCTTAATAACCTAAAATATTTTTTTTATTTGTAAATTTTCGTTAGTAGGTCTTAGAAAAAATATACTGTACAACTCAAGTGGATTGTCCACATCGCACTCAGATGATTGAGCACTCCCGCCTACGGCGTCATGCTCAAATTTCTTCTTCGTGCGATATGGCCATCATATCCACTCTTGTTGCACAAAATACACTTTTTTCTGTTAACATGGGTGTGCTGAAATTCAGTTCCAATAATTTTAGAGATGATTCTACATACGAAAATGTGAAAATGTCTTTATATACACATATTCGAAAATTAACAGTTTTCAAGATTCAGGATGTTAACTTTTTTTAAATCAGTTTTTTTATACATTTCATTAATATCCTTTACTTGGCAGTGTTATACGTTGTTTGGGACGCTACTGAACTTAATAATATTCATCGAGTTGGGGCTAAATTGGCCTCCTATTATTTTAAACAACACTGACAAATTTAAAAAAAAAATCGGATAAAAGTAATGATATTTATAAAAATTGATTTAAAGAAACAGTTATGTTCATATAAAGAAATGTTTTTGTTTTTTATGTAGAATCAGTCCTAAAAATATTGGAACTAAATTTAACAAATTCGAAAAGTATGAAATTTCATATATTTGCCATTTTTCCAAGGTTCTTCGAACTTTGGACTAAAATGACTATTATGGCAACCATTTACAACAGCGATAACAATCAATAAGAGTACAGCGGTCAAAAAAACATTTTCTCATTAACAATTTATTCACAAAATCTTGCAGTTGAGGTTGTTTTGAGTAATTGGTGCTTGGAAATTGAATTGTACAATTACTTTTATCTGTAATTGGTAATTGCAAGCACTTAGAATTTCCAAAGTGCTTGGTACTTAATGCTTGGTGCTCGAAGCACTCTTTTAAGTGCTCTGCAAGTTACATTTGAAAAACATGAGAATTATTTATGACATGTTTCTAAACACTGTATAAAATGAACCAGTTCTATTTTAAAGAATTTTGAAATTTTAAATTATGATAATTTTATTTTGTGATCTGCATCATTATCAAATAAATTGCTTGGCTGTTATAGTAAAAAAATATATTTTAGGGTTGAATACAGTATTACCAGACCATTCTAAAACTGAAATAAAATACAGGCTGTTCTTATTTTTTAAATATATTTATTTTAAATTGTATACCCTACAAGAACAATTATTATTTTTATAGGACTTCTTATTGACAAGCGCAATAACAAAAATAAATGTTCGTATATTCTGTATTTGTATCTGTAACGTGTCAAGGGTGGTTTTTTTTATCAAATCATAATAGCCCAAGAGTCCACCGCAAATTTTTACCGCCATCTAACAATGAAATAAAGAATACCCAAAAGCTTGTACTTTACTTTACCAAATGGCAACTCTGCCAATCCTAATCCTGAGCAAAGTGGTAAAAAAAACATTTTATATTAAAAAAAATCACATAATTTTGTTTGCCCTTAAAGTTTTCTAGATAATAACATATTCAAATATATCTTGATATATATCGTTAACGGGAAACATTTTCTTCCTCTTAACATCTCACACGATTATTAAAAATCATTAAAAATATGAATCAATTTTTGCTGATTTAAAAATTTATTTGTATGCCTATTGTTGTCATTAATTATTACAGGTTGCCACAGAAACGACAAAAAAACTACTAGGATTATTTAGAATCGAACATGCCTATCTCCCAAAGTGAATAGCAAAAGCGGCAATCTCCATTTTTCCTTATATATTATTAGAACTGTCTAACAAGAGTTTATAATTATTATTGACTATCTCTGCAAATAATTTATACAATGCCATCCTTTTTCCTTTCACACACACATGGTTTAAAAGGTAGGTAAGAATATTAATAATTCAGGTTTAAAAGCTAGGTTCACAATGAATTGGGATTGTAATTTTCAGGGCAAACGCCGTCATGTCTTATGTGATTTTTTAAATATAAAATAATTTTTTTTAACCACTTTGCTCAGGGATATATTGGCACAGGTGAAATTTGGTAAAGTACAATGTTGATACATGTCTTTGGAGCATATTTAATTTTGTTATCAGATGGCCGTCGTAATTTGTAGTGGGCTCTCTTACTATAACCAATTAGAAATTCCAACGACCTGTCAACCAATAGCTGCCAGTGAGAATGTTTGGTATATCTAAGGAGGTAGCGACATAATTTTGAATCTTGAGCGCTATTTCTATTCGAAATAATAGTCACCAAGCCTGCTAATTTATGAAAAAATGTATAAGCGGTTCCTTATTTTGATTATTATTTTTATTGTGTTTGACATAAAATATTTAAATGTAATCCATTATTCATGATTTTAGGTATTGTAAACAGAATACATCGTATGTCGCAACCCTTGGATATATAAAATCTCCCCACTAGCAGTTCATTTGTTTGAAATGCCTAATACAATATATGACAACTGCCTATATTCAAACAGCAGTCTTCTGCGAATCCGGAATTTGTATCCTTGGAGTGGATGTTATTTTGGAACATCCAATTGGCCCGAGTGAGCTAACTGATTCTTTAGCTATAAACTGTGACCCTACTACAATCTCTGCCTACTACCTTTAATTTGTGTCATAAATAATTCGTAAACAAGAATTTTGACATTTTTAAATTCGGCGCACGTCACAATTATTTAAGAAAGGGTTGTTAAATAAGCTTTAGACACCCATAAGCTTATTTACGTATTCTATTCGTTATATCTGTTTTAACACTCAATTTTTCACGATACCATTGCTTGCAGCATTCATTGGCTTTCTGGTTATAAATCCAGATTATCCAGAGTAAAATATTTTTGGTCTGCCGCTGGTAACCGGAAAAATATTATCGAAAGACGGTAAAAAGAACGACTTAAGATGGCATCGGACGTCTTGACAGAGATGGAAAGGTAATGAAAGTAAAATGAACTTACTTGCATTCCAGACACGTAGTGCGGTTCGGCAGCAAGTTGGATTCGATCATTGCCAGGGTCTGGAAAGTAAAGTAAACTTAAATTAATCTTGGCCAGTTATTTATCGCATTACCAGAAAGTTAGTTGATTATTCGACAATACACTGGAGGTTAAGTAAAAGCAATATATACTGATATGGAAATTTCAGGGTTTTAAAATTTTTATGATGTCAGAATAATATGCTACTTAAAAGTTTATGATTTTTATATGAGCAAAATATGAAATAAATCAGTGCATGAAAATTTTAGGAAACGTTTTATAAGAATCTACTTTTGTTATTAATGATTGCCATTTTAATTAATTATAGGTTTTTGTGATCTACAAATTTTCCATTTCAAATTCTTGGCTAAAATTATTTTTTGAATATTGTAATGTGGAAAACTCGAAAAACAGATTTTTAGTTACTTCTGTACCCTCTATCTTTTTGGGAATGAACTATAGAGAGTTTAGTCTAAGATAATTTTTTTTACAAATTTTGAGCTCTACATTTTTGTTTTCACATCTTTTTTGCTCAGCCAATAACAATCGAGATAAACAAAGGTCAAATTTTTTTTTATTACATCTGAGTTTCCATAGCATGTAGGATACTGTAATTAGGTATATTACTTTTAAGAATCTCAGCAAAACCATAGCAATTTTTTTCGATATACTACTTATTTTACAACAATTTTACTCTGACACAAGAGTTTTTCTGAAATTTACTAAGGGCGATAGAAAGTTGTTGTGATTAAAAAGAGTATCGTAAAAAAATATTATTTGCCATTTAGAAAGAGAATTTGATTGAGGGAAGTTGTAATTATTGAAAAATGGCATGAATTGGAATTTTAATAAGATATGTTAAGACGTTAAAGAATTAAATCCAGTCATAAAAAGGTAAAGACATTTTAATTAAAATCTAAAAAAGTGCCAGGAAAAGTTCAAAAACCAGATAAACCAAAAGAATAGAGTTACAAAAAAAACCCAGGCAGAGTAGGCAGGTCGGTGCATGAAAAGGCAGGTAGGGTGGGCAAGGAGTATATACAGAGTGTACCAATAAAAACTCCCGGGCCGGATATTTTGGTAAGTAATAGAAATATTTCAATTCTGTAAAAGTCAGTTCACAGAGCACTAAGAGAGCTTCAGTTTTAGATATAAATTAATTTTAAATAGGTCAATATGTAGAAGGCGCTGTGCTCAATAATTTTTTTTCGATGGGAGGACCTTTCTTGTATAGCGTATCTTGTAAAAAATGCATTTTTAAGCAGATTTTGTTCTATGAATTAATTCAATAAATTTAGCTATTTTTGATATACAGAGTGGGTCACTCAAAACAGTTTCATCCTGTTTTTCAGCATAATCATTGGATTTAAAAAAATGCTTAAACAGGTCGATTTTTATTCCAAATTAAAAACATTTTTACAATAAAGACATCTATCATGTGTCAACCCCCCTCTCTTTCACTTCTTCAACACTTCTCCATCACTGAAAAGGTAATTTAATGGGGGATTGAGAAATATTTATGTACATTGCGTTACTTAAATTTTATCACCCTCTAGTAGTATAAAAAACTACTACGTATTATAGAGTGTGACACTACAATGTGTAGTTCATCATTAAAAAGGTAATTTTATGGGGAATTTAGAAATATGAATGATAATGATTATTTAGATCCTCAACCTCGCCCATCAGAAAGGGTACTTAATTATTTATTTACGTAGCACGTACAGAAAATAATTTCTAAATAGTAAAGTATATCTAACCTAACACAAATAACTTAGTGCGCCAAAAAAATATAAAATATTAAAAAAAGGAAAAACACTAGAACACTACGAATAAAACTTAAGACGTGCAGGAGTTGCAAGTCTCTTTTTAGCGCTAAAATATTAAAATTAAACGCACTTTGTCCGTAATTGTCTTTTTACATTCAAAATTGATGTGTGCTGAGTCCGTCGGACATGAACCAATACTTTGAACTCTTTGAAAATAAGGCCTAGATTAAAAAATATTTTAATATTACTAATGATAGGATTCTGGGAAATATCCTATACACTACAGAATCTGTAAGATATAGCAATGTAATGTAATTTTTTACAGATTTTGGCTTACAGATCTTATATATTGTCTCAGAATCGACCCATAAAAATCTCAATAATATTCCTATCATATTAAAATAAATTTATGATACGCCTATGTAATCTTAACAACCTCCCTCTCACCTCGCTTATCCTTATTAGTGTTCCGACAAAACAAACACTCTGCTAAAAGATTATATTTAGGTATTTGTCAAGATAGTTTACTAAGGACCGATTCCACCGTTGTGTTAAACGAAGTTTAAAATGACATTTTTACATTAACAATGTCATTTTAATCTCCGTTTAATACAACGGTGGAATCGGCTCTTATTCATCTGAGTTTTAAACTTAAACTACGACTTTAATATTTTTTTTTTCGAAATCGAGAATAATTAAAAAAATATGAATGAAACATATGCTTATACATGAATATCTATCAATTTCTGAAAAAAAAAAAATTGTTTGTATTTTTTTGTACGTTGTTCTGTGAAGTTAGTGATATTTGGGACTGGGCTTTGATCAGTCTCCACTGTTCACCTCTCCGTTTTGCAGCCTTATTTGGTATGTTCCTTTACAAATTATATGTATTTGTATAAAAAAACTTGCAAATATAATATAATTATTTTTTAAATTTATACCTTGTTTAGAAAGCAATGTTTAATGTATCACACTTTAGCAGTTAATGAGTTAGTTACAGTGAAAAAAAACTTTAATAAACAGCCTTGTTAAATACACAAAAACCTGCAATCCTATGTAGAACGTAGCACACATCAAACACGAATTTTAGACAACAAAAGGTCGACTGATGTGGTGAGCTCGGGTTAGGGTTACTGCGAACACGCCTCTTTAATGTTAGTACAAAACACATTAATTTAATTTTGCTGACTAACCTGGAGGTACGACGTCGACTGTAAACAAAAATTATTCAATGAAAATTTCATTTTCGAGGTGGGTGCGTTGACGGGAACATCAAAATGAGGCAAATATTTTCTTAAGCGTTATAATTTGGGCATCGGTCGAAACGTGGTTGGAATGTTAAATGTATGTGTTTATACGAGGATACAAAAAAAAACAGATTAATATACTAAAAAAAAGGGAAATACCATCTTTTTACAAAGGATCATACAGTAGGCTTATGGAGAAATATGCTTCGGTGAAATTTTCCGAATATTGCAGTCGATTTCCCGAATAATAGTGTCCACAGCATTGAGATACACTTTTACGTTATGTGTCAAACTCGACCTAGTGGAGCTAGTCAGTTTTGATGAAAATAAATGCATTTTCTTTAAATTTAAATGATATAAAAAAAATTTGATTCCGTGACTCTTCAAATATAATTCAAAGTACGACTCTGAGTCGCCATTTCGAATACACGTTTCCACTACTAGAAATGCGTCCATCTCCCAAAATAGTGTTTATGTCGTCTCTAGTTTATTACATCTCGATAGTCCATAGGCACAACGCACAACACCATCTTGTGACTAGTTTTTGATATACTGGCAGTTGAAGTTGCAGACTGGCTATTTTGACAAATTACTGATTTTTCCACGATAATTTTATCTTATTGTGGTTTCTTACACCTATTAATTGGTATTTTAATAAGTTTTCTTGGAATTTCGGTGTTGGATTTAATAAAACACTGTGGTTTATGTTTTTATAGCTTTAGGTGCCTAGTTTGAATCTTCTTCACTACGTATACTTGTTATTTATTGATTTCATTAATTTTAGATGCGAGATTGCGAAATGTAATTTTTCGCAATCGAGTTCATATAAAAATTGAGATAGCTCATATTCTAGCTTGGCACTACTGAAAAACCCTTTAATTTATATTTTAAGAAAAATAAAATATTCAATGTAATTCAAATTCTTAAAATAATATTTAAAATCCTTTATTATTAGTATTCAAAAATAGGTAACAGTTATACTTGTCACAAACCAAAATTTGTAGCTGAAATAGTAGCTGGTCATTCTAACCAGTGGAACTATTTCAGCAAGCAATGGGCTCCATAATGCCAGCAATTTGTCTCGTTTGGGCTTGTTACTGACATGTGTATTATTTAATACTTTGATTTAAGTCTAAGTTCAACGCGTTGTCAATGACAAGTGACGGCGACTTTTTTATCACAAAAAATACAGCTTTGTATGATAATATTTTTAGAAAGTGTTATTAAAAATGGGTCTATACTTTGTTTTACTTTTAATGCATAATATTTTAATGAGTAATGTTTAACAAAGATTTAAAAGTTATGGACTTTCTACCATTTTTTATAAAAGCTAAAACGCAAAATACACTCTTTTATTTTTGGCCTAATTAGTTCGGGAAATTGTGTTGGGATTTAAAAATGTACTGTCGATGGGGTGGCGCCAATTTGCAACCGTGTTAATTTGCGACATACGTTTTATTAAACTCATCGTGTTACGTATTTGTTGACATTTGTATTACTTCGAACGAAAAATCATTTTCTAACCTAAGAAAAAAGTTGAGTTGGGTCTTAATTCAAATTTTTAAGAGTTCAATGATAATTTTAATTCATAACATTTTAATTGAATTATGATAGTTTTGCTTAATTTTATATTAGTCCCCCAATCGACTGCAAAAAGTGACACGTGGTTTTTTTGCCGGCTATTTGTAGTTAGGTACAGGGCAGCGAGTGAACAACATGTACTATGTCCCGGTAGTGAGAATGGTTATGTAACCTGTGAAATTCAAAGTTGCGCGTCACTGAATTTTTGTTTGTATAGAAGAACAAGCTCTCAGACGGCCAGAACAATAAAAATATCTGTGGGATGTTCTGTGGTCCAGTTTTGCTACTTCCGGTCTAGAAGTTCCGCCAAATAACCGATATTTAGTTGAACAAATAAATTTGGGATAGATAAGGTTAAAGACGGGTTTTCTGAACATAAGATGATATTTCGAGAATTTTTTTGTGTACTGTTTTCTTTTTCTAATAGGTATAAAATAAGTATAATTACTTTCTAAATGTTTGTATGACTCTTAACTAAGTGTATTTTTTTCTTCTCCTGGGCTCGTCTGACTATGTCTCTGAATAACACTGAATCCTAATGGCTTATTGTGTTTTATCCCATGTTAGTTCATAGCACCCACTCTATCACCTTTGTAACTTGTACAAATTTGTACATATCTTTGGGTGAGTCGGTTCTATACGTTGTTGGATCAACCTGGGGTTGTCCAAAAAGTGCCTGTCTTTTGCGATCTAGAGCTTCGCATTCGCACAGTATGTGTTTGGCCGTTTTTGGTTTCTTGTGACATAGTCGGCACATGAGTTCCCCATTCTACATGCCGATTTTGTTCAAGTGTCCCTTTACTGGGGCGTGCCCAGTCATGAACCCTAATATCATTTTCAACTGGTTCCTATTCATAAATAGTAGTTCTCCAGTTCTTTTGGGACATGGTTTGCCTATGCCTTTTATGTGCCTGTTTTGGGGTGCTTCCCCAATAGTTAATAAGTTGTTACCAAATCCAGTCGTTTATGAAACCCCGGACCGTAATTCTTGGTACTCCTGGGTTGGTGTCTGGTTCCGGTGTTTCTTTTGACCCTCTTTTTGCAAGTTCGTCAGCCTTTTCATTTCCTTCGATCCCTTGGTGACCTGGCACCAAAAATAGTTTTACTCTATTTCGGTCTACCAGTGTTCTTAGATCTTCGATGCATTCCCATACCAGCCTCTACGTAACTTTTTGACTCGATATGGCCTTAAGTGCCGCTTGGCTGTCTGACATTATTTAAATATGCTGATTTTCAAAAGCTTTTTCATTGTTCATTTTTGCACATTGCAAAATTACGTATACCTCGGCCTGAAATACCGATAACATAGCATAGCTATATTTAGTATCAGGGTTTTTGGAGAATACTACCGCCCCAATGCCTTCCGCAGTCTTAGATCCGTCTGTATACCAGGTTTGTTCCTGTCCTTAGGCATTGGGCTCCCTTATGGTGATCTCTGCTCTTTCCTGTATTAAAACCTCAATTGGAGTATTAAAAGAGTACCTCTTGGTTATGTGGTCTGATCTCATGCCTAGAACGTCTCATGTCACTAACCTTGAGATACTCATGTGACCTAGCCTAATGTCAAGATTTCCCAGTGTATTCCCTAATCTGTAAGCATCTAATCTTGCTTCCCCTTGTATCACATAGTGAAAAGGTGGGAGTCCTATTAGTGCTTCCATTGCAGCTGTGGGGGAACTAAGTGTATTACTCTTGCAGGCATTCTTTTACTCAGTAGTTTTACCCCATTCTGCATTTTATTTATCCTAAGTTTTCGTGAGAAACATATGTTAAAATAGTTTAATTTATGGTGATAGGGTAAAACTACTGAATAAAAATTCCCGCATCACTCTAAGTTGAAAGTCATACAAAGATTTGAGAGCGATAATTAAATCACTTTCGAATTTTGGTTCCGATTTTTCAAAAAAGAGGCAACTTTTCACCAAGTTAACATTTTTGTTCCTCATCAACCTTTTCCCCGGCACAGAAAAATATCTGCAATATTATCTTACATTCAGAAAAACCGCGTTTAAACTTGCCAGTGCGGTTTGTATGACGATGCTATCGTCAAGATGGTGTCGAAAATTTTCGGGGTTTGTATCTCGAAAACTATAATCCCAAACGAGAGTGAATCTGACCCATTTATTTATTTCCATTTCCAGAAAGGGTGAAATGCCACCTTGAGAACAGTGAGTTCTACCGTTAAGGGTGGCAAAAAGAGACTTTCCCAACAGTTTTACCAACTTAGCGATTTTGAAGCTAGATCTAACGATTTCAGAAAGGACATATACATATTCTTATGTAAATAATAAATATTTATTTTCTTGTGAGCAGGTTTGCCAAATATTTAATGTTATCATGTAACTGCTCACCTTTGAAGAAATGTACTTTTAGTTTACAACATTTGCCATGATTAAATTAGTAGAAATTTATTATTTATATCTGTATGGAGTTTATTTTTACAGAAAGTTCAATCACATTTGTTAATGACACCTTCTATCTCGAATAGAAATTGTTTTATATTAGAAGATGTTAATTACAAAATATCTATGTGTACTATGACTGTATATGGTATATTTCTTCAACAGTAAGTTGTATTCCTATTTTTGCACTTAACTTTATTTTATTAGGTAAAAAAAATACAATAAAACTTCTATTTTTATGATAGTGTTTTCTTTTTTTCTTTATCATACCCAAAAGTCACTAGATATTGAAAAAGTCGACAATTCTCAAAAAATTTGGCCCAATTTATTGTTTCCCTCGCGAGTTTTATTTATTTGGCGATTTTTGGGTATTTTCAAATTTAAATATTGACACGTCAAAAAGTCAATTATTTGGCAATCCTGCTTCCAAAATCAGATAATCAGTTGCCTAAGCGGCTCTTGAAAGCCTGTTTGTAAGCTTCTATTGTCGATTTTACAAGCAGGAAACAAAATTTCAAACATACTCTTTGTTCCTTTGAAAATGCCATCTGCAATAACGATTTCGCAGGTGGCAATTGAGAACAGTTGAAAATAACAACACTACGATCAAACGATGATACCGCTTGTGCAGCTGATTTGGACATACTCGTCGAAAGGTTTCTACTAGTCGCACTTAGCAGGATAACTCACTACTAGGCTCCGAGATAAAGTGGGAAATATTATTTAAGGAAACCACGAGAACTTAAATAACGATTCTATACAAGTTGCTTCTATGGGCATGTTAATTGTTGGGTTGTTTCGTGGTTTAGGTTCTATCTAATGGATAGTGTGGCAGACGCCAGCAGGTTCTGGAGAATTCCAGAAAGTGGAAGGTCTATGATTAGGAAAGGCCACGCGCTTTTAATCATTTTTTTTTTGGAAAATTTCATCAAAGCCCATTTATCCATAAGCCGACTACCTGGTCCTTTATTTGGAAACATATATCCAAAGATTCGCCAAACCAAACTTAAATATTTTGGATTCTACTGAAGTAACGAGTCTTCATCAATACCTATATCCCACGTGATCTGGTAAAGCAAGAAATTTAATCAAAATGGCTGTTCTTATTGACTTTTATCACAATTTAAATACCAGTCCTGTCAAATATGTCAGTGACATTGTTTTTGAATTATTACTAAAGCTATTAATGTTACTTTTAACTAGCTGATGACATCAATTTAGTCATGTACAATATTAGTATTGTTGAAGACTCTGTATATCCGATCTTTCTCAATGACCGATAGCTCTAACCGAAGGTTGTTTACTATAAATAGGTATAAAGGTGAAGACAATCACGAATTATATAAAAAAAAACTCACCGTAAGCTCGATGTTTTTCGCTAGAGTGGACTCAGCTATGTTGGCGAAAGGTTTGTCGGCCCCCCAGCATTCCACGTATTTGGTCATCTTGCTCGACGGCCTCGTCCTCGTGTGCGGGATGCTCAATCCCAAATTACCCTCGCAGATGCTGTTCGTTCTTTCCGATACGTTGGACAGGCGGGGTTTGATGTTGCCGTTCTGAGCTTCACTGTCTGGGTGCTGGAACAACATAAATAGATGTACAAAAGGCGGTTAAAAATATATCAGATCAAATTAAAGATAATAATTATGAAATTGTCTACACTTGGTCTAGACCCACAGTAATTGCAAATTGTGAAACCTGGACAATGGCAAATGATATAGAAAACACACTGGGAATATGGGAAAGAAAGATGATAAGGAGAATATATACGGAGGTAAAAAATTGATGATATTTGGCATAGCAGAGAAAATAATAAACTGTATGACCTATACAAAGATGTAGATTTAGTAAAAGTAATCAAGGCCCAAATAATACAGTGGATAGGATATATACTTTGAATATAAGATAATAAATTTGCAAAAGTGGTCCTAAATCACCAACCCTAAACTAGTCGAAGAAGAGGTAGACCGAAAGTAAGATGCCGACAAGTGGATGAAGATCTGCTGATTTTAGGAGTTAGCCGGTGAAGACAAGCCGTCAAGAATACAAAAAATTGAGAAAAATTGTAAATTTAGCCTTCGGCCTAGGCATGTTGAGATTTCTATATTTATATGAAATAGTCTAAGGCTTCCTTCATACACAACGATTTTTGGTTTTGGTAAAAAGTTTTATGAGCACATTTTCTTTTGAAGGCGCAATGGGTGGATTAAAAAAATTATTTATGAGAAACTAAAACTAAATTCAACTTTCTGCACTCTGTATTTCCGAAATCATTCACTTTTGGATTTATAACAAAACAGGACGTTTGAATATCAAATTATCCTTGAGACAGTTGCAATAAAAATTCTAGCCGATGTTGATAGAGGTTCTTTAATAAATATAAACCATTATAAATATATTTTTAAAATACACAACACTATCAACAAGATGTAGGTCCTAGCAAACCATCACGGAAAAAAATGTGACTAGAAAATTTTACTACAATGTTGTAGTAGTAGACTTGTAGAAAAATACTTAACAATTTGTAGAAAATTTTACTACAATTTATAGTTAAAAACTATTAATTATTGTAGCAATTGAATTGTCGAATAAAATGCTACAACAATAGGAAAGAAGTCCACAATGTTTAGTATATTTTACTATTGTTTGTAGAAGTAGAAATTTATTACAATTATCGTAATTACTACTACTAACTTCTGTAAAAATTTGTACAAATATTAATAATTATCTCTACAAAAAATAGTAATTTTCTCTACAAAAAATAGTAATACTTTACATCCCTTCTTATGAAAAAAATTCAATTTTGTTCAAAAATATTCTATAATATTGTAGAAATTCTAAGTCATGTGAACAAAACAGAATTCTGCTATTGGCCAACGTTTTCTGACGTCGATCATAAACGGCTAGACATCAGTAGCCGTTCGCCATGTTCACATAACAAAGCATGGTACATATACGAGTACCTATAACACATTATTATAAGCACCGATGTGTTTGAGAAAATTTTAATAATAAATTCTATTGGTGGTAAGTACATTTATTATTGTTTCTGAATAATTTACCTTTAGATAACTAATTTAAATAACCTTAGTAGATTATTTTAAAAAAATAGTTGTGGCCAACGATCGAATGTTGTGCCCAACGATCGAATTTTGTGCCAAGTTCAATGATGTTTTTTTGTCTTAATTGTGACATACCTACTTTCTCATTTTTGTTAGTTATCTGACTTAGTCATTTAATATTCAAATCAGTGTAAAGGTGATAAATATCCCCGTTTTAAGGGTATGAACAGTTCAATTGGTATTAATTTTTATTTCATATTTTTCAGGTGCAGAAAAGCCAACTGAGACTGAGGGCGCTATTATTACTGTTATTTATTACATAATGTAATTAAGAATTTGTATCTTTTATATTAAAACAATAAATTGAATATTTTATTAAGTAACATTTTTTTCTAGGTTATAATTATAATAATTATGGAATACTACTACAAATTTTATTAAAAATTACTACAATTTGTATGAATTTTTACTATTTATTGTGTAAAATTTTCGTATTTATTTTCATAAAACGCAATACATCTTTAATATAAATTCATACAATCAATAGCAAAAATTATAACAATTTGTAGAACAATTCTTGTGATGCATTTGGATATTTTTACTAAATATTGTAGATAATAACTCAACAATACATTCTCCACAAATATTTGGAAATTTTTACTACAAATTGTCCCTGTCCCTATATGTACTATTTATTGTAGAGAAAAAATCTACAATTGTAGAAATTTGTTCTACAATTTTTTTTCCGTGATTAGAGGGCGCTAACATCGTGATAGAATAAAAGCGATAAACTTTCATTAGATGAGAGTTATTTTAAACGCATGAGTCGCACTTTATGTATACAATGTCCATACTATTGCTGTCTTATTTAAAAGAAATGTTTAACAACCTCGTAATAAAAACGAAAAGCGTGTTGTGATGAACTATTTATTAGCATGGTGAAATGCATAAAAAATAAAAGTTACTTTTAAATAATATGTATTATTCCTCCGTGATATGTAAGTTTCATAAAACTTTAAGTTACCTAAGAAGATACAAATTTAAATTAATTTTAGGTGACTTTGTTTGAGTTTGTTTATCATTGTTTTCTAAGCATAAACGAAATATTTAATCGATTTTTAATTAATTTTTTAATATTTGCAATAAAAACTGTCTGGCCTGAGTACGGTTAGGTATTCTTGTTCAGCTTCTTATTGTTTATACAAGTATTATTCCAATATTAATCAAGCTGGTTGTTCAAATAAAACTTTCATTTTCCTTTCGTTATTAAAATTCCCAAAAATTGGTTTAAGAATTTGAATTTAACGTTTGATGATAATACTAACAGATTATTTTTTGCCAGTCTAATAGTAAGGTTATCTTAAAACATAAACGGCTAATTGTACATTTTGATCAATTTCATTAAATATAATTCATCCATTTTAAATATAGAACAGTCAGATTTTAGAATTTGTTGAGGCTGAAGCACAAGCAGAAGCATCATAGATTTGCTAATCCGCAACGTAAAACAAGATATTAATGCAAACGTAAAACGAAAATTTTGTATTAGTTGACATCGGGTGAAAGGGGGTGAAGCGCGCCCTGTAGGGACACTTTTGCTACGACTTCAACTTTACCCCTCGATATGGTTACCCACGTCTCAACGCTGTGTTGTTGCAATAATTAATTAGAAATTTATTAAGACCGGAAAATTATGGGGTATTAGAGACTGTTCCCTATCTGATTTGCAAATTGACAAATTCATTAAATGACATGACCATTACGGGTGTTTTTAAAATCAAAGCTATGTTGCATGGAAGTTGTATAAATGTGTGATGTGTTGTATAAATGTGTGATGTGTTGTATAAATGTGTGATGTGTTGTTTAAATGTATGTTGTGTTGTGTTGTGTTGTATAAATGTGTGTTGTGTTGTAAAAATGTGTGTTGTATAAATGTGATTTGTATAAATGTGGGTTGTATAAATGTGTGTTGTATAAATGTGCGTTGTATAAATATGTGTTGTATATAAATAATGTGTGTTGATTAATTTTTGTTTGTGTTTTAGGTATAGTTAGGGTACACATCTGTTATTTATTGCTTTAAAAGGTGCTGACTTGGACGAGAAACAGCTGTTTTCGTCTAAAATTAAGGGGCCGAGGAACGAGGAACAACCTTCCAAATGAAAAAAAAAAAAACAACTATTTCGCAACAAATAAATGAAAGCAGAGTTAAAAATTTAAGTACTAAAGAGAAAAACTTTATTTTAATAAGAGAAAATTTGAACTTGTAAGTTAAAGAAAGCTCTTAGTGATTCCCAATGATGTACAACTACTAGATCAATTATTTTTTTACACAAATTGTAAGCATTCACAATGTTATCCACGAAGTTGCCAAATTATTATGAGAGAGTATGTGAGAGTTTTGTTACAATGATTGCTTATGGTTATAATTTAATATTGACTTAACATAAGGTTCTAAAACGCACAGACTTGCAAAATATATATTTGCATTCTTAATGACAGTTATTATGTGTTTAATTTATTTTTTTGGTTGCAACTATTATTGTAGCTGCAGGTGATTTACAGGAAAATATTTTTTTACAGCGTGGCAACGGTGTAAAGCAGAAATTATAGTTACACAAGCTACCTTAATAACACCGATCTGCCAGAAACATCCCATTTAGGTTCCATGTATGTTTCTATGTTTCTGACATAAATGGTACATCCCTACGATGTCTCTAAAGAAACGTTTTTGGAATGATTTCTCAAAAACGTTTTAGAAACATCTTAATTATGTTTTAGGTATTCTATTTTCGTTTTAATTATTTTGAAATATCAATAAATTATAAAATTACTGCAATCACCAGAAATCTACAATCATGTCACACTCCAATATTAAATTTGAACATTTTGAACAATATTTTTATTTGCTAAAGGTCAAATTTATCTTTATTAGTTGCTTCAAAAAAGAGGGATGAATATACCCTTCCTAGGGCAAATGGTCTAAATGAAATATGCCGCATGTACAGTGTCCCAAAAGCGGCGTTTAAACGACATTTGGACTCAAAAAATAAAATGGCAAACCAAGAGTAATATCTTCGGACGAAGCACCGTCTTTTCACCGGGGTTTGAGGAGAGGTTGGTTTTTTATTTTGTTCTTTTTATTGTATTATTTTTGATTGTTTATGGTAAGATTTGACTTTTTTTTAATGTTCATTTAATATATTTTAGTTTTTTGACATTTGGTTTTTAAATAAAAATTATTTTCTTTTGTTCATTTAATCTATACTTAAAGTTCTCCTTAATTTTACGTAACTAAAATAAATGGTCCAATATAGGAACCCACTGGTTCAATTTGGGCAACCAGTTTCCTATAATGGACCAGCTGCAAGTGTTCCAGATTAAAGTTTTCTATGAAAAACTATTCAACAAAAAATTCGGAAAAAATTAATGGAAGTGGACAATATATTAAAGTATTTGGTGTCTAAATTTAAAAGATCTTTAATTTTCTTAAAATTAGAGCCCTAAAACCGAAAACTGGACCAATATAGGCAACTTTTCCTTAATGAATATCTGAATGCATTTTATTTTAAAATGATTAAAATATATATTTCAAATATTTTATTTTAATGTAAATATTTTTTGTTCCTATTTTTTGGGTATTTTATCACTTAAAAAAATAATATTTATGTTAACTACAATATTTTAATGTTATTAATAATTTGAATGAAACGCGGCACTTCGTTTTATTCTTATGTTTCTTATTCAGGCTCTATCACAAATCAATCAGCCAATGTGAACATAAAAAAAAAATTCAAATTTTTTTTCCAAATTAATTCGTAGCACTTTATTTACTTTCATAATCCAATAATTTTTCAATTCAAAGATCCCTCATGAACACAGTGCTTTACAGAAGAAAGGATAACTTTAATTTTATCACAGTCCATTCAAAACCAGAAAAAAACTATTTCATTTTACAATTTTTACGTACATCTCGTATATTTCAGGAAAATACAAAAGCACCTGCCCAGTTATTAATTCAGATCATTTTTCATGCATCACCGCACTATTAATCTTTCTGTCTGTCATTTACTTCAAGACAAAACATTTTTCAACCAGAAATCCACTTGTCTGATTATCGTTCTATTCACAAGTAAGAAATTGCGTTTTTTCAACAAAACGATTTTTAAAAATACAAAAATGTTTAATCGAAAAACTCGTCGATACACAAGCTTTGTAAATCTAGATAAAAATGATCGTTTTTCAAAAAAGATTAACGATTTGTTTGGTTTGGTTTCGAAACATCGTTATAGCCAGGGATAACAGGTTATAACGTATCAATTATATCAATCAACGCAGTATTATTCTCATACAATTTGCAAACATTTAACTAGGAAATAAACAAAAGTTAACAAAAAGTTGATCAAACAGAAAAGTTATGTGCAGCGCTTTTAACGATTTTATAAAACGAAAATTAAATCAACGGGAAGTTCGTATGTACAGTGGGTTTTTTTTTAAGAATAAAATTATATTATTTTTGATGCATCACACCTTGACAAATATGATAGAAATTACATGTTACAGTACATAATACATAACCTCGATATTGCTCTGGATGTTTCCCTAGATATAGACCGTATGTCCAATAACGCCCTTCCTTAGTCTCTATTCTATTGAAAGAAGAAGAATCGATAAAGTAACCTGTAACTGGATCAAAAGCATGCTTGGAAACTAGAACATCATTTAATCACTGCAAGGAGAGAGTCACTTTCAGGCCTGTCAGACGATGTCCCAAAGGTGGCGTACTTTCACCCCTACCGTGTACCATTCTGGATAAGATGATCTCTCTCGGCAGGGGATATATTTCAAATGCATGTAATTTGGTGATCATAATTAGAGAGAAGTACGAAGAGGCGATCTTCAACATCCTTTAACAAACCTTAAATACGATCAACAGATGGTGCCAGAGGAAACATAGGTCTGTTAACTGCTATCGTCCCCTTCAGCAAGAGAAGAAAACTCAACAAGTTTTTACAACATATCTTGGCCGTGGAAACCATTCCTTTTGTGGAGATGGTGAAATATCTGAGGATTATCATAGATAATAAACTCACCTAGAACCCCTAATTGAACAAAATCATCAATAAAGTCAGATTATCCCTCTAAACCCCCAGACGAATTTGGGAAATCAGTCCTATTGGATTTACTAAACTGTTGTAAAATCCATGGTTGCGTACGGCTCCGTTTTCTGGTGGGACAAGGGACATCCACGGACGGCAAGTACAGCGGCTTGCGTGCCTCACCATCACTGGCCAATGTCAACCACACTGACGGGAGACATTGAGATCTTGCTGAATCTAACCTCTATCCACATTTTGCTTAAAAGGAAGACTATGATGATCTCCTATAGACATTTAAAGGTGGGATGGTGCAATGAAAAACTGTGATGGGACAAAACGGTGCTAATAAGTGAGATAAATAACCACCACACCCATAGCATAGTCTCAGACTCGCTAGATCCCGTACAGCACATAGAAAAAGCATACAGCGTCTTCATTCTAGAGCAGGGGGAGACAAAATCTTCCCCCAGGCGGAATATGTGCTGCACACAGACGTTTACAAATCTAAAAATGGAATAGGAGAGGGAGTTTTTGGCCAGAAGCCAAGATTTGACATATTATTCAACCTTGGCACTAATCGTGTTGACTTAAAGCTAGTTTGGGAGGCAATAAAACAGCCGACGCCTAGCTAAAAAATGAACCAAATTTGAGTTTATAGGATCAGAACCATTACTAGGCATTGCAAAGAGCATTATATTAAAATGGACGGAGAGATACGAACTGAAAAGATACCCCACTAATTCATCCGAATGCATTTATACCTAACCCCTCGTCTCAGATCCAGAAATGGAGTATTAAAGATCTACGCTTTTCACGGGACTAATGACAGGACAATGTCGTCTAGGTGATCATATGAGAAGGATAGATCTTCAACAAACATCGGACTATCGATTTTGCAGCATGGAAGTGGAAGACGAATTTGCAGAGACCATTATATGTACCTGTTCTACCTTGGAAATAACTAGGTTCAAGATCTTCAGATTAACATGACTGAAGCCTACCGACTTTAAACAATTTTCACCCAATTCAACTATGACCTTCATTAAAAGGTGTGGCTTGTACGGTGAACTAAAAGTTAGACATGAACCACACTAAATTCAGCTGGGTCGCAATGGAAGGCGATCAGATCATACCATTTATTTCCAACCTAGCCCAACATAACCTTTGAAAAAATATTAATTCACATTTAACGTTATTTTTAAATGAATTCCAGAGATCAGAGACATACAATAAAGAGTTATAAATATTTAAAATTAGATAACTTACTTTTGGAGGAATAATCAGGAACGTCTCAATTTTGTGGTCAGATAAATAGCTTTCTCTAGCAATTCCATCTCCCGGCTCCACTTGGAACTTGTCGCCCAGCTGGTGTAGTGTGGCTCTAGTAATGTGAACTCGTCTGAAAGAATAAAAAATGCACTATTATTAAAATGGTTTTAAGAGGGCGTGTTCTGCGATCAGTTACACACTGTTTCTTCGCTCTTCATGTTTATAGTAAGTCAGATAGTGACAGGTTTAGGTGCCCCATTTTCGCATAAAAGCCTCGAAGAGGGTTGAAACGTTCATCGATTTTAAGTAGAATGAAATGAAATCTACGAGTGACTGCTGAGGATAACACATGGAAAATTCGATTTTCGCTAACAAAAACGAAAGGTTATTTGTTGCCCATTTTTCCACGCAAGCCTTTCTAACTATATGAAATAAGGGCGTAATCTTCTAAGGAAAAATCGAGATTTTGCCCGATTTTTCCACACAAGCCCATCGAATGTATGAAAACGTACGTCTTCACTAGTAATTAAACATATTTTTTTGAATGACCCGAATGTATAAGTGCATTTTGGGGTCGAAAAAATTTTCTGATAAGGAAAATCGAATTTTCCATGTGTTATCCCCAAGAGCCACTCATAAATTTTCATCTATTCCACTCAATATCGATATACTTTTCAACCCTCTTCGAGGCTTGTATGAGAAAATGGGGCACCTAACTCGGTCACTATCTGACGGTCTATTATTTTAAAAAATATCTTGGATATAAAACAAAAAAATTAAATTTATTAGTTAGTATCCATACTTGAACAATATATTTTATTTGTCTCTTAGTAACAATAGAAGCCCAATTTTTAATCCATAACATCGATACTTTTCGACAGTTGAATTTAACAGTCTAAAATATTTAGTGAAATAAAATAAGATCTCGCCCTTCTTGAAAAAGATATTTATCAATATGTATAAATACATGTTATAACTGATCTCTGCTTTAAATTTGAATTTAATCATGAAATAAAAACGAGAACGATTAGCGGGATTGAAAACGAATACTGTTATGAGGTTCATATCAGTCATTGATTGCTTCTAGCATTGTTTGGTGTAAAACCAGTGTGCATTTTCTATCCAAATTCGACGTACGTATGACCTTGATATAAAAACCCTATTCTAGAACTTAATTAAAAAAAAATCTGATCTTGTATCTCATAATTTGTAATTTTCTTGTCAATCGGCGTACTATGTGTCTGTGTTGTTTGGAATGATCGGACTTGCACAATATAATATTAATTTGAGGGTTTTAATTTCGTAAACTCTCGAATAATTTGTAGGTATATTCCTTTCAGTTTTTTGTTTATTTCAAAAAATCATTCAATATGCAATGTTTTCTATATTATGTACTTTTTTAAATTTTTTCTCTGAGGATGAAAGAGCGATATTTGAGTCATCAGGTTCGGAGGGGTTCATTGTCATTTCGAAGATCATTTGATCATAAATAAAACATGTTTTTCTTTTTTCTGTTACGGGGGTGGAATAATTTGACTGTTTCTATATCATAGACGTGTTTTTCCTAATTAATAGTTAAAAAACTTCTATTCTATAAAAATAAAGATACGTTTTTTGCCTATAATCCACTTAAATGTGATGAAAACGTAATGAAAATGTGATTTATAAAATGATACATAACTATTGTATACATACCTGTAAAACTGAATATGTTATAGACGTACAGTTTTAAGTTCTTTTAAAATAAAGAAACACATAAAACATGTTGCAAAACACCATTTTACGAAAATTCAGGTATATAAAATATAACCAATAAAAGTTAAAACTATAAATACCGACATGCCTGTACTTGTTATTAATGTCCAAAATGCCATTTATCTGAACATTTAAATTTGGTTGTAAAGAAAAGATAAGAATTTAATTACAGAATTAGCCAAACCAAAATTCACTAAATTGTAGTTAAACAATATCCATCTAAAATCGCATCAACTAATCCCTAATATATTTTTTAACCATTGTGTTATGAGATTAAAACCGTTCTGCTTTTGATTTTAAGAAAAAAAAAAAACAATTTTAGATCAAATCTACGCTCTCGACATTTAATCAAATTATTTTACACCTAACTCACTTGAACAAATGACTTCAACCGATTAAACTGCATCCACTAGGGATTTCACTTTTTAAATAAGAAAGAAAAGTACCTTAGCTTCCTTATATTCCTTTTTCTTTTTCATGTAATTTTTTATTCGGAATTTTACTTTTAAAATACGATACCACTTAGATTGAAGATGCCTGCATATGATCAAAGTTTTTCCTGCTGGAACGTATATGCCACGTGCACGACCTTTATTAAAGTTTAAAAGAAAATTTTGGTGGACAGCAATTTTAAGGATATTTCTTTCTAGGACACTTGGAAAATAAAAATCATTAGTACATGTACATGTTTCTTTTTAAATCGGGGCTGTATACGTACATGATATACAGTATGGTGAAAATAGTAATTTATTCACTGTTACGTACTAAAAGTCTCATACCTTATATATAGTTTTTATTAACAATTTTAGTATTCTAGAATAGAATAATTAGTTTTCACAAAAAAATGAGCAAGGGCAAACTAATTCAATATATTTTTAAATATATCTATTTTGAGAGTCTTCAACTGTAGCTATATTTCATCTTCAATTAACTTTACCTTGATATCTGGTTTACGTAAAAATAAACGAATTAGAAATATTTTAGTAAAAAAGTAAATATAACCTTAAAACATATTTTGATTCTTCTTCTGTTACTTTTATTATCGTCTGTCAAATTTTCTTCCCATCGAACCATAAAACATAAATTATTGGACAAATACCATGACGTCATGTACAGTTCAGTGTAGCCAATAGTGCAAAAGAATAATTCTCTAGATTCTTATGGAATAATTCGGTTTAAAGCCCATAAGTAAAAAACTATCAGTTTTTTCTTTTTGGAGAATTTGCTTTGAGAAGCAACCACGTTTTCCAAACCTTGCATTTTCGCGGATATTTACCGAAAACTCCGATTGTTTTATTTAATTTCGATATTAGGGATAAAGTAACTAATATCACATTTTGTGGATCTAAAAAGAAATAATCTATTTGGATAATTCAATTATCAAATTCGCTTCAATTGAAGCCACGTTTAGGTCCCGTTAAAATATCTTATTCATTGATTTTAATTTTCAAACTCACTTCCCGTCAGATAATCCTTTTATTTTTGACGTCATCTATGTGAGCGAGATTACGTCATTTTTTTAAATAATTATAGGGTTTTAACATGTTCTAGCCAATTATCTAAGAATATTTGCATGCAGCTGCGTCACCAAGAAAATTTGAAATTGTATTGAAAATGGATAATTCTAAACGATTAGTAAATGCATGCAAATCAATTTTTATTAAAATTTGAAAAAAATATACAACGGAAAATAATCTGCATACGCCTCCTTCGTGTAGTACGTCCCGAAATTGTTAAACATGTAAAAAAGAAGAGGTATTGAAGAACAATTATTAAACGTATGCTTTTTCACAGCATTATTTTGTTTGATCTAAAAAAGTATAAGTTTGGTTTGCCCATTATTTAAAGACTACCCTGTAGATTAAAAAATAATTGTACAATATCCCACAACTTTTGTATTAAAAATTTCTTTGTATTTCCAATAATAAAATAGCTGTCGATTATATACGCAGTGATGGGACACAGTGTATGTTGGTATAGTTGGATGGATAAATTCATAACGAATTTATTGTTAAAATAATATACAAAATATTTTATCTGAAAAACTTGAGTAAATTAAACTTAAAATGAACCATATTTATTATATGTTTTCAAACACTCTGTATAAAATAAACCAGTGCTATCATCACTATTCGTTAGATGTATATCTTGTAAGTCTGTATTTAAAACAATTTTGAAATCATTGTTAACCAAAATTTTGATAATTTTATTGGGGGTCTTTATCATTTTTTAATTTCACAAAAATTAATTGCTGAGCAAACCTGTAATATTTTTCAAAAATATTTTAGAGAGGATAGGCTGGTGCCGATACTGTTTTGAAAAAAAAAAATTAATAACAGGCAAGGACCAGGTGCAACATTTACTTAACTAAAAGAATCAAAAAATTTTAAACAGGGACTGAAATAGGATTTTTGCATTTTGCGGTGAAACGTGAGCTCCTATCGAAAAGTGTTTAATACAAAAGTTGTAGATAATGAAAAAATCTGAAACTATTTCATATGACGTTTTTCAACATAACCTCAAACTTTCTGAGAAAATTACGGAAAAACGATTTTTCAGTTTTTAATTTTTTTCTAGGACAACGGTAAAACGAGTACCTAGTTTTCGAGATATTTACATTTTTCGCACAAAATGCTCTAAACTTCAAGGTTTTATAAGGGCTCATTTTAACCGTTGAAATGTTTACTTTCAGATGGTCTATACATAATCAATAAGAATTGAGAAAAACTGAAAAAGTTAATTCATCAGGAAATTCTCAATATCTCTTTATCAATTTTCAATACAAATTTAAATTTGCTTGGTAACGCATCCACGTGTGGGTACTCTTAGATAATTGGCTAGAACATGTTAAAAACCTATAATAATCACAACTTAAAATATGCATACATTAAAAAAACGTTTCACAAAATCTGTCATTACCGGCTAGGCTATTACTGTTTGTTTAAATACTCAATATTGGGAGGCACCGAGTTATAAATTTCGGGACCTAAATATGATTAATATTGTTGACCATTGTGTTTTGCATGTAATAGATAATATATGCGTCTTTATTTCGAGTAGTATATTTTATGACAGAGGTTGCAAATCTGCTTTATCATAATGTTGAATAATGGTAGTGTTTATCTAATGTCAAATATCTTACAGTATAATTTATTGTTAAGCTATTTGTAACTAGCGTTAAGGATTGTTTTGTAGAACTTCAAGAGCTGGTAGGTAAGTTTTAGATAAGCTATCGGCATTATTAAGACGATATTCAACTAAATTTGTATATACTATTATTTTTCGTTTAAAATTTAATATGCCGCATATTTATTTAAATTTAAATTGTATACAGCGTAGCTTTTTAAGAAGGTATTCGAAATGTTGACCCCTTCT